TTTTTTTTTTTTTTTTTTTAAACTGTGTTAAAGTACTTGAAATGTATTGACTGCTGACTATCCTTTAAAAACAAAACAAAACCATTTGAGTTGTATTACAGAGGTTGACATTGTTCAGGGATGGGACAAAGCTTTCTTCAAATCTTTTCATACCACTTAGTGATTTTGGTGCAGGAACTTGAGATTTTCTTATTTATTCCATGATATTTCACATCTACTCTTCACAGCATGAAGCATAAAGCCCAGTGGCACCAAGTGGCTGAATACAATCAAATGATATTTTATAGCATTTGACTGGCTGAAGGGCCTTGGGAGTTTTCACATGATGATTTCATTGAGCTTCATTGCAGCCTGAAATTTAAAAAAAAAAAAAGTTTTGTGATATATGCTAGCCAGTCAAGTTGTGTTTTGACCAGAAATTTGGGTATGACCTATTTCTTAGCTCATTTCTCTGTGCTCTATGGGTACATACAAAAATCCTGAATTCTGTTTCCCAGGCAGATAATTGCAACTCAGGGCTAAAGTCATCCAGTGAAACTTTTAGAGCCAGAAGTTAACTTTGTCCCAGTCCTACAATGTGAAAAGAGTGAGTAGTTGCCTCTTTTTTAGCCATTTTCATGGCTGGTACATATCTGTACACCTTACTTTTCAGAATCAATACGCACTTTCAGATATTCTTATTTTTATTCTCTTAAGTCTTTATTAACTTTGGAGAAATGATGCATCTTTTTATTTTAAATGAAGTAGATCAACATGGTGGAACAAATGATAAAGAACAGAAAACATTTCAATATATTACTAATAATTTTTTTCCAATATAAAACCTAAAATTCCTATAACATTATAGTATTTTACAGTTTTATGAAGCTTTCTATTGTGACTTTTATGGAATTAAGAGATGAAGAAGATGAGATATTTTAGCATTTATATTTTTCAAAATTAAATGTATACTTAAAATAAAGTAACTTTATGCATTTATGAGTGTCAAGTGCTTCTGTTCAACTCTTCAAATAATTATGAAGTGCCTGTTATTTTACTCTTTGGGTGTTACAAGGAATACAAAGATGAGTGAGTTAGAGTCCCTGACCTCAGATGGCTTTTTATCACTCCAGGCAGAATGATAAAATAAGCATCCAAATTATATAAAATAAGAGATTGTCAGAATTACCTATTCAAGTATTAATGAAGTAATATGCAGGGGTTCAAAGAAAAAAATATGTCCAACTAAGAGCAATGAAATGGTTTTACTGAAAAAGTTGTGTTGTTCTTCCTGTTTTATAAAGTTAGTGAAATATAAAATGCCATTTTTTGAATCCAGGATGATGTATATAGTCAATTCTCAAAGGAAAAAAAAAACTGCTAAGCATAAGCACTTATTAAAAAATTATTCAAAAAACGAAATCTTGGAATGGTACTCCTCAGAAGGT